TGCATGTCTTGTAGCTGACCTCCAATGCTGTAGGATTCATCCCGTCGCTTGCCACCAATTGTTAAGACACCTCTAGTGTCTTTAAGCCAAACCGCCGTTTAGTAGACCTTCCCCGGCTGCAGTACAGTCTCCGTTCGCTTACTCTGTAACACACGAACCAAATGCAGGGGAAGCGGCAATCTCCCGATCGAGATCCGTGAACGGCTCCAAACTCCCGAACGGCAATACACGAACTGCTGGTAACCGTCGAACAGCAATATTCCCCAAGCGGCTTTCGTTCCATCCAGCAGTCTCTAAACGTGAAGAAGAAATCCCCCCCAATAACGAGACAGAAGCTCCGCATTGAGGGTCAAACAGAATCTGGCTTTACTGTGGGCTACCTGCCCGTATTTATGCAGGTCTCCCACTTGGTGGACACTCCCCTAAGGGACCAAATGGGAGACTTAAATTACAGACAGATCTGGGGACATCCCAGACACACAGTCACAGATTTTACCCACAGTGCATTATGATTCCCTCCCCTCTACCCTGGAGTTAATTACCAAGTAACTCAATTAACTCCAGGACAAAGCCAGTCGCCATCTTAGACATAAAATAATAAAAGACATAAAAATATATAACTACATAAAAACCGAACATTTCCCATTCGTATTACATGTCCCCAGATAGCCTGGATCTGAGTGCATATTATTAGTGAATAGCGCTCAGATCCCACACACATAGTTCAATCGCCATGGAGTCAAAGTTCTTACAGTCTTTCGGTATACGAATGACTCCATGGGAAGGCTATCTGGGTTAAGTCTTTTCGTATGCTCTCAATCTCCCGAACGGCCGGTGTTCGCATGCTTTCGTGGAGGCAGCCAGGCGTTCCGTTGTTTCAGCGGTGTTCGGCAGAAAAAGTGTCCGTTTTCAGTTCCATAGAAATAGAGCCAAACACCGCTGGGCGTTCGCTTGATTTAAAATGGCCGCTGCCTCGTGGTCGACATACGAACGATGACCACCCTGAATTCGGTTTAATTGAGAAGTGTCTGCGGTTAACCACAACGTTCTAATTGGGATCACTTTGTTAACCATCAGCACACTCCTCACTTGGGTGGCCGTTCGTTCGGCAGGTTTGTTCGGGAAAAAGAGTCATTCGAATGGCTGGGCTATAGAAACCAGTCAATCCAGACGAACGTAGTAAAAATCCAAGCAGACAGATGGTTCTGTCACACTCAGTCCTCAGCTTCAACCATGTGGCCATGCTGACAGGAACAGCCTGGGAGACATGGGGCAACTTCCAGCTCTCCAACTACAGCTAGGGGTGAGTGACAGTGAGCTTGTGTGTTCTGTGTGGTGGTTGTGGTGGTGGGGGAGGAGGGGGCTAGTGTGTGTGTGTCCAAAAGCTGCAGTAAACTGTGTGCAGTGATATTTCTGTAGTGAGCTTGTGTGTCAGTGACATTATGTGCATATCGGTGAGCTGGCTGTTGTGAGTGTGTATAGCAGTGAGACTGCCATCAATTGTCTGGATTTGAGAATTGTACGTGAAGGAAATGGTTTCTCCACAAACATATTCTCAAAGCTAACGGATAGAAATAATCTATTAGAATACACGAGCTGCCACCCTAAGAGAATTATTGAATCATTGCCCCCCACTCAATAGGAATGTATCAGACCCAGTCACACGCTCAGGATGTTTGGGAGAGATGGGTACAAAATGTTTAAATCGCGGCTATCCAGCCAAGCTTCTAGATAAAGAAAAGAATAGAATACTTTGTGTAGAGAGATTCTCTTTTGGCACCTTAGAGGAAAACGGTGCACAATTTATCCAGAATACCTTTTGTATCCCAGTTTAATTCAGAGAGTCAAAGAATAGCACACATCATTCACAATTTCAATCTCTGCATTCTTGTCCGAGCAGATATTGGTCCATTAAAACAACAACAACAAAAAAACTGCGTGTTTTGTCTCCACCAATTTTTGTCGCTTTTCCATGCCATAATTGTAGTTCATGTAATTCATTTATTAAGGGTAATACAGTTTTCCATCAATACACTGGTCGATATTACACGGGTGAATCCTCTTATGTAGTGTACACTATCAAATGTCCTTGTGGTTGGGGAGACCACAATGAAAGTCAGAGAGAGACGAAATAAACATAAATCTACTATTAGAGCCAAACAGGTCGAACTACCGATCCCTGCTCACTTTTTAGAACAAAAATATACAACATCACAACTACGCTTCCAGTTCATAGACCAAGTATTACCATTAAGGAGAGGGAGTGACTGTGTGGGTCAACTTAAAAAGAGAGAGGCTTACTGGACCCGCACACTGGATACATTGAGCCTGAAGGGTCTCACCAAAGAATTTATAGTGAACCTCTATCTGTGAATTTGTATGTTATAAGACATGAGGCATTCCTTCTGTCAATTAAACTCTTATTTGCATAAATGGATATTTTGTTCATAATTTAAATTTTTAACATCAGGAAGTTAGTCTGAGTATGTCCATCTTAACTGTGATAATCTTAAATGAGCAATAAGGTTTATAAATAAAAAAAATGACCAACTGGGCGCCGGTTATGACTTGGATAATGACCTAAATTGACTTAGATTTAGACAGTATTGGTCAGAGATTGTATTCAGACAATATGATAAAATTCAGACGATCTATTTCTATGTGCACCATATATGATTATATAAAAATATGACATTTATATCCTCATGTAGTGTAATGAAATATATGGCTACAATTCTGACTGTATATAATGATGTACATTACAGGGTAGTTTGATGGGAACAATAACAGTTATATCCATATATGGTAGAAAATAACAATTCTGTAAGTGAGTTATATGTCTATCAAATAGTTAAAAACCATTATACCTTGTTTTTTAGAACTTGCTTTGTGATCACATAGGTATGTAACCAATATGAGTAATCCATATCAGGATTTTAGGAATTCTTTGTTAATTGGACTGACCATGTGATCTATTAATTGATTAACTTAAAGGGTATATATACCCAGTGTATGTTTGTACTCTCTATGCATGATTAAGGCTACATAGCTGAAACCTCACATTTTAGTTTTTAGGAGAAACCATCACAGACCTTGGAGTGTCGCCTGTGTTCCTTGTTGTTGAGCTTTGACCTCTGCAGATTGCGGTGTCTGCTATTTTCACAGAGCACCTCCCAGGCATATGATCACTGAATGGAACCTGAGTGCGGGGTGACTTGTTTCTTGTGTGTGTGTGTGTGTGTGTGTATGTCAGTGAGTTTGTGTGTACTTAACCGTTTTAATGAGCATGTATGTGTCAATTAGTGATGTCGCGAACCCGAAATTTTCGGTTCGCGAACGGCGAACGCGAACTTCCGCAAATGTTCGCGAACCGGCGAACCGCCCGAAACGCCATTGACTTCAATGGGGAGGCGAATTTTAAAACACACAGGGACTCTTTCTGGCCACAATAGGGATGGAAGAGTTGTTTCAAGGGGACTAACACCTGGACTGTGGCATGCCGGAGGGGGATCCATGGCAAAACTCCCATGGAAAATTACACAGTTGATACAGAGTCTGGTTTTAATCCATAAAGGGGCAGAAATCACCTAACATTCCTAAATCACAATCAATATGGATTGAC